TTTTATTTATTTCTAGGAGAGAGAGAGAGAGTGAGAGACAGCGTGAGCAGGGGAGGGTCAGAGAGAGAGGGAGTCACAGACTCTGAAACAGGCTCCAGGCTCTGAGCTGGCAGTCAGCACAGAGCCCGACGTGGGGCTCGAACCCACAAACCGTGAGATCATGACCTAAGCTAAAGTCGGACGCTTAACCGACTAAGCCACCCAGGCGCCCCGACTCCATGCTTTTTCAAATGTAAATAATTCATATAGAAACAAAACTACATTATCACATATATCACATAATACTGTCATAATATGATTGAGTAACAGATATAAATCCATGAACCACCTGGAAATCCTTGCAGAAAACCACTAACAGTCATCAGCATACTACCGTTTACAAAGCACTTTCATACATACTTTTATTTACAACCACCTCTGAAGGTACTGTGAACACAAGAGGAAACAAACCCAGAGAATCAGAGCGATCTGCCCAATGTCACACAACAAAGAGCCAATACTGACATGACTGATTAAGGTATCTCCATTTTTGCTCAGTGTTATCACTCTAAAAACTGCTACTCAGGTTACTGGCATGCAGAAGAATGAAACTGGACCACTTTCTTACACCACACACAAAAATAAATTCAAAATGGATGAAAAGATGGATGAAAAGAGCCTAAATGTGAGAAAAGAAACCATCAAAATCCTAGAGGAAAACATAGGCAGCAACCTCTTTGACCTTAGCTGGAGCTACTTTTTCCTAGACAAGTTGCCAGAGGCAAGGTAAACAGAAGCAAAAATGAACTACTGGGACCTCATCAAGATAAAAAGCTTCTGTACAGAGAAGGAAACAATCAACAAAACTAAAAGGCAGCCTATGGAATAGGAGAAGATATTTACAAATGACATATCTGATCAAGGGTTAGTATCCAAAATCTATAAAGAACTGGGGCACTTGGGTGGCTCAGTGGGTTAAACATCCGACTTCAGCTCAGATCATTATCTCATGGTTCGTGGGTTCGAGCCCCGGGTCGGGCTCTGTGCTGACAGCTCAGAGCCTGGACCTGTTTCAGATCCTGTCTCCCAATCTCTCTGACCCTCCCCTGCTCACGCTGTCTCCCTCTCTCTCTCAGAAGTAAACATTTTTAAAAAATTAAAAAAACAACAAAACCCCAAAATCTATAAAGAATTTAACAAATTCAACACCCAAAGAACAATCCAGTTAAGATACAGGCAGAAGGCATGGATAGATATTTTTCCAAAGAAGACATCCAGATGGCTAACAGACACATGAAAAGATAGTCAACATCATCAGGGAAATACAATCAAAACCACAACGATACCACCTTACACCTGTCAGAATGGCTAAAATTAACATCAAAGGAAACAACAGATGTTGGTGAGGATACAGAGAAAGGGGAACCCTCTTACACTGTTGGTGGCAATGCAAACTGGTGCAGCCACTCTGAAAAACAGTATGGAGGTTCCTCAAAAAGTTAAAAACGGAACTACCCTATGATCCAATAATCACACTACTGGGTATTTACCCAAGGAATACAAATTCAAAGAGGGATTTACAGCACCATTATTTACAATAGCCAAGATATGGAAGCAGCCCAAATGTCCATTGGCTGATGAGTGAACACACACACACACACACACACACACACACACACACACACGAGTATTACTCAGACATCAAATGGAATGAAATCTTGACATCCGCAACAACATGAATGGAGCTAGAGTGTATTATGTTAAACCAAGTAAGTCATTCAGAGAAAGACAAAATATCGTATGATTTCACTCATGTGTGGAATTTAGAAAACAACACAGATGAACATATGGGAAGGATGGGGGAAGAGGGAATAAAACCATAAGAGACTTTTAAATTATTTTTTTACTAAGAAAATTTTTTACCGTTTTTATTTATTTTTGAGAGAGAGAGAGAGAGAGAGAGAGAATGAGCCGGGGAGGACAGAGAGAGAAAAAGACACAGAATCCTAAGCAGGCTCCAGGCTCTGACTGTCCACACAGAGCCCAATGCAGGGCTCAAACCAATGAACTGAGACATCATGACCTGAGCTGAAGTTGGATGCTAAACCTACTGAGCCACCCAGGCGCCCTCCTAAAAGACACTTAATGATAAAGAACACACTGAGGGTTGATGGAGGAAGGTGGGGGGGATGGGCTACATGGGTGATGGGTGGTATTAAGGAGGGTACTTCTTATGCTGAGCACTGGATGTTTTACGTAAGTGACCAATCACTAAATTCTACTCCTGAAACCAACATTACATTACATATTAACTACTCTGAATTTATTTAATATATTGAGTGGGAGCACAAGTAAGCAAGGGGCAGAGAGAAGGGGCAGAGAAAGAGAGAGAGGATCCCATGGGGGCAGAGAGGAGGAGAAAGAAATGGAGAGAGAGAGGGTAGAGACAAAGGGAGAGAGAGAGAGAGGGAGGGAAGTGGGGCTCACCTGAAGTGGGCTTGAGCTCACCCAGAGCAGGGCTCCAACTTACAAACCACAAGATCATGACCTGAGCCAACTGAGCCACCTAGGTGCCCCTATTTATTTTTTATATGAAAGTTTTTAATATCTATTTTTGAGAGAGAGAAAAGAGTGTGCAAAAATGAGGAGGGGAGGGACAGAGAAAGAGGGAATCACAGAATCTGAAGCAGGCTCCAGGCTCTGAGCTGTCAGCACAAAGCCTGACATAAGGCTTGAACTCATGAACCATAGGATCATGACCTGAGAAGAAGTTGGATGCTTAACCAACTGAGCCACTCAGGTAGGTGCCTCCCCTCACTTATTTTTTAGATGTTTATTTGCCCGCACTGGGCTCTGCGCTGACAGTGGGGAGCCTGCTTGGGATTTTCTCTCTTTCTGTCCTTCTCCAACTCATGCTTCCTCTCTCTGGTTCTCTCTCTCAAAATAAACAAACAAACAAATTAATTAAAATTTGGCAGAAAAAAAAAAGGAAAGCTGGCTGAGGCCTCAAAGTTAGTGATGGCTAAGTGACAGAAGAACAAAGCTCATAACTTCACATTCTTCTAAAGAAACCCCAAAGAAAGAACTGACAAGTGGGAAGCAAGAAGTGTGCAGACATTTAAAACTATTCGGTTTAGGGCACATGGCTGCCTCAAATCAGTAGAGCATGTGACTCTTGATCTCAGGGTAGTGAGTTCAAGCCCCACGTTAGGCCTACAGCTTAGTTAAATTAACTGAATTGAATCAAATTAAGAAAAAAAAATAAAACTACTCAGTTCAATCCACAGAAATTACATTTTTTCCCCACTTCTGTTTCTCGATGGGGTTAGACAGACAGGGGCTCTGCTTATATAAAGGGTCATTTTTTTTTTTTTTTTTTAAGGGTCATTTTTTAAAAATCCCTAAGTTAAAAAAAGTTTTTTTAACCTAAGCTTTGTACAACCCAAGGCCACCTTAGGACAAGGATTCTTGTGGCTTAGACCAGGGATATACGGAATCAGGAACGTACCAGATACTACATGACTGCTTACACTGGACTGCCAGCTCCTAGAGTACAAATCTCTATGTACCTCTCCAACCAGCAGCACAGGTTATACGTGCCTCTTGATGACTTAATTTCTTCATCAACGATCTATTATCAACAAGTACTGATTGTTTAAAAGCTCAAAAGCCAGGGCACCTTGGTGGCTCAGTTGGTTGAGTGTCCAACTTTTGATTTCGGCTCAGGTCATACCAGGGTGAGTTCGAGCCCCAAGTTGGGCTCTATGATGGAAGTGGAGTCTGCTTAAGATTCCCTCTCTCTCCTGCCCCTCTCCCTGGCTCATGCGTACACTCTCTCTAAAAATAATAATAATAACAACAATAAAATAATGGCCCAAAAGCCATTTGTGAAGGGTGTGGCTCAAAGTCCAATGCTACAAGAGGACACGGGAGCCAAAATTCCTGGTTCTAGGAAGGCTCCAGAGAGCTTCATGATCTCCCTTACTCTACTTTCAGTCATGCTATTTTGTTAAAAGATTACACAACCTCTTCTACTTTTTCTAGAGTTCCTCAATCTCCTGCTCACCCAGTTTAGGCCCATGGTCCACTGTTACAATCAGTCCCTGACCTAAACCCTTAGCTTCTTTGCCCTACTCTCCCTTAGTGACACACATGCCTAAAAAAGCCAACCCTGCTTAAATACCACCTGCCCCACTCAGCACCTGCAAATGCACAGGTGGACACACACTGTGCTCATCTCACTTTGAGCGTATGGCCCCAATCTTGGGTGGGCCTTTCATGCTGCTGGTTATCCCAATATACTTCACTCTCCCACACTCCTCGACGACCACTCATGCCCTCTCTCTCCTCCCCTCCCCTCATTCACAGCAGATATCCTTGCTTTCCATTTCACCAGTAAGAAACAAACCAGAAGAAATTACGCATGCTCTTATCACTACACCCATCTACCCACTTGCTTCTATGCCTATGCATTCTGCCTTCCTTCCAGGGGATACCATGGAAGAACAGTGTTCCTATCTAAGGCCCATCCCTTACCTATGGATCACATTCCATTCCTTTTAGCCTTCTCCAGGACATTACTCAAGAAACGTCCCCCCTTTCTACTGCATCATGGGGAGGAGGGGTCTGAACCTTCAATCTCATATCCTCCTCCAGCATCCATTCATCTGCACCCCCACTCCCCTTTAAGCAAAGGGAGATTTCCACATTGCTATCTCCAATCCCTTTCCTCCGATTCCTGAGTTCCCAATATCCCGATTAGACTTTCACCCTCATCCTCCACCATTCTACCGAAACTACTCCAAAGGGTATCATGTTGTTTGCGGGTCCCCCCCAATGACTCCATGTTGCTAACATCAATGACATTCTATTTTCAGCCCCGGACACAGCTGATCACTCCATCCTGGCATCCTCGCAGCATTCTCTTGGTTTTCTTTCTTCCTCACTAGAGGCTCTTCCTCAGCTTCCTCTGCTTGCTACTATACATCTCTGTGACCTATAATATAGGAGGGCCCCAGGCCTCAAGCCTCAACCTCTTCTCTATCTAGATTGGCTCCCCTGGTGAGCTCCCCCAGCATGTGGTTTATAACATCATCCAAACTTCTCTAGCCCAGATCCCTCCCCTGAACTTCAAAGTCTGACAGACACCCAAGAGAAAATAATGAATTGGTGTTTGGCTAACAGACATCTCAGACTTGACTTGTCCAAAAGTGAACACCTGTCTTCTTCCTCCAAACCTCCTGTGATCCTATCTGCTCAGTCTATCGCCACAGCCTCCTAAGCAGTCTCCTTTGCCACCTCTGTCCTCCTGTAGTTCATTTTCAACACAAGAGTCTGTCATCCTTTTCAAAGCTAAAGCAACAGGGTGCCTGGGTAGCTCAGTGGGTTAAGCATCCCCAACTCATGACTTTAGCTCAGGTCATAATCTCATATTTTGTGAGTTCGAGCCCCACATCAAGCTCTGTGCTGACAGCATGAAGCCTGCTTTGGATTCTGTCTCCTTCTCTCTGCCTCCCCCCCCCCCCCCCCCCCCCCCCCCCCCCCCCCCCCCCCCCCCCCCCCCCCCCCCCCCCCCCCGCTTTCTCTCCCTGTCTCTCTCAAAAATAAACAAAACACTTAAACATTTTTAATAAAAAATGAATAAAAGTTGAAGCAATGCTTCTCCTTTGTTCCAATGGTTCCAGTGGTTCTGCAGCTCACCAAGTAAATCCCCGTCGTGACAAAGCCCTACAGTGTTCTCTCGAGGAAAGCTAGCTTCCTGATCTCCACGTGCTGTGGCGCGCGCTTCCCCTCACTCCTTCTAGTCCTGCCACAGTGGCCTCGCTGCTGTCCCCACACTCAGGTCCTTTGCATGTGCTGTTCCCCATGCTTGCAAGAGCTATTCTCCCAGATAACTGCTTCACTTACTGTCTTTAGGTCTTTGCCAGACTGTCACTTCATACTCCCACCCCACCCCCGCAATAAAAGTATCACCACCAGCCTCCACCCCAGTAGATCCTATTCCCCTCCTTTTCTGCTTTGTATTTTTTTTTTTTTACTCATTTATTTACTTGACTGTCCAGAGAACAGGAATCTGTCCTTTCTATTGATAGCTGTTTCCCTAACAGAGTCTGACATATAAAAAAGCAAGAAGTAAACGTGCTGAATGAGTAAGTGAATTCTTTTTCTCTTCAATTGCTGAAGGAGAGCTTTGGAGAAACGGGTGAGAAGAGAAACTCCATTCTCTGTCTGATAGAAAAAAAAGGTGCTTCCAGGCACTTACCTGCTCCCCGACTGGGAGGGTCCCGGGCTGGGGGAGGTGGCCTATTACTCTGTAGTGAGGGAGAAGCTGAGGTGGGTGGGGGAGGCGCTAGGCCTCTGACAGGCCCTGGTGTCTTCCTATGCAAAGAATTGTGTCTCTGTGGCAGCTCAGGGGCTGACTCGTTAGTGGGACTGGAGGGTCCATTGGGGACCCCAGGAGGCTGGCGGTAAGGCGGAGGAGGAGCCAGAGACTGGCCACTTGGTCCCGTTCTGATATTCACAGGGGAAGGAGGTGGTTTGACCGAGGGCGGAGCAGGAGGTCCCTCGCGACCAGGGTGCAGCCTCTGTCCAGGTGTGGGTGGCAAGGGCTTCTCTCTGTTGTAGGCTGGGGCTTTGTTGCTGTGCATAGGCAGAGGCGTGGGGGGAGCATTGGCACGCCGCCCCGGGGGTGGCGGAGGAGGGGCAGAGCTGCTGTGCTTCATGCCTGTACTGCTGGTGGTATTAGGCCGAGAGAGGTCCGGTAACGAGGGTCTCTGCATCCGGGGCAGTTCTGGGAGCGAGGCTCGGCAGCTGTCTGTATCATCTTGAGGGCGCCCGCTGGCTGTAGACACCGGTGGCCTTGGGGCAGCAGCTCGAGAACTGGGGACTTGTAGGGCTGACTTACCAGCTAGGTTCTCTACAAATACAAGAAACATGCATGTTGGTCAGTATATCCTTCACCCGGCCTCCTCAGTGCAACCTGCATGGTAGCAGGGTAAATGCCTGTATAGTTCTGGGTTTTAATCTCGTTTCAGGCTCAGGGCCCACTAACAAATACTGCTGATACAAGTTGAACACATTTTCATTTAATCCCTCAGCTTTGGCTTGATTCTACTCTGTAACCCCTCCCCTGCTCCCACTTCTTCCTCCCATCTCTACCACATGCCTTAACCCACTCAGGACTAATTAGAAATTACTGCACTTGGGAAATACCCTAAGAAAGCACTGGTCAGATACCTGAACCATCCTTGGCTCCCACAGGTCGGAGCTTCGGCACTCCCCCTTGGAAGAGACCTCCCTTGGGCTGCAGGGCAACTGCTCCAGAGCCATAACCACCACTGCTTCCTTTGGGTTCTGGAAAGCACACCATTAGAGTTTTCACTTCACGTGCTCCAACCTGCTGACCAAGTCAATCCTGAGGAGAAACCCCTCCCCTATTTGGGCTTTCATTTGCAAACAAACCAATCTTGCTTTTTACCTTTGCATTAAAAAAAAAAAAACCCTAGGCCTCTCAGATCCACAGCCTCACTGTGATGAATGAGAAAGAACAAAAGGAAAAAGGAGCTAAACTTCCCTTATTTAGGAAAGGCAGGGGGAAAACCAGGATAAAGACAGGCTCAGAGGGAAAGGGGGCCAATGACTCAGGGACCCAGGTGTGAGCAACTCTCCGGAGACCTATCTGAATGAACACCTGTGACAATTACAGAATCATTGATGGCTTCAGCTTAGTGGTTTTTAGTAATATGGTGGTCTCCTCAGAGAACAGCCAACGGTGTACCCTAACAAACACTAGTTACAGCAGAAGACAATCTTACCCCAGAGAACGCTTCCCAAAGGTAAAAAAAGAAATTTCTAAGGTATTCAAATAAACAGATACAAAGACAGCCAAAGAACATTCAAAGAAAACGCTCCTAAAGGACAAAACTCTCCCACTCAAGGCCCAACAATAAAAATGACAGGTCAGCCAAGTCTCCAAGTTGATCCTGGGACCCTGATGGCTCACTAGGAATAATGAAGCTTAGACTCACTCTCAAGGATGGGAGCACTCCGATCGTTAATGTTGGTCACCTTCTTCAGCTTGGTCCCTTTGCAGATATCCTGTAAGAGGGCACCTCGACCCCGCTGCTCATCTCTACTCAGCTTGGGCTGCTCTGTGTTTGCCTGGAGGAAGAGGGTAAAATAGAACTATTCATCCTAAATAGTTCCCTTTACCACAAGGTTGGGATAAATACCTTAAGCCAAACTGGATTTCATTAATGCCCCTCTAACCTAATAAGACCCTGCACCAAATATCAGTACCAATGCATGCTCTCATTCTTCTCAGTCCTTCTCCAGTTGTGCCTTCTGTGAAGGGTGAGATCTCCTTCCTATTCAGAAGCTTCTGAAAGGAGGCCTACACTAATACTCGCCGAGTACCTGTGTGCTGGGCTTGTGTGTTAGACACTTTAGAGGTGTCAATGCAAACCCTGACTGGGTCCCTACTATGCCTCAAGTTAAGCATGTTACTTCTGTTACTTCATTAAATCTTGAAAAATTTCTATGAAGTAGGTATTATTATCATTACCCATTTGGAAAGTGTGAATAGTTGAATAGTTCCCTGAGGCCATGCACCCAGCACACAGTAAAGCAAGGATCCAAACCCAGACAGTGACTCTAAAATGCCTATCTTCTATCAACTAACAGACCTTATTGCTCCCCTTTTACTTTATCTTCTAAACAATACTATAAGATAGACCATATTATTCCTATTCCAAAAATGAGGAAGTGAAGGTTTAGAGAAGTTAATGTCCTATGGTTAGAAAATGCAGAGCTTGTCTGACTGTGTAAAGCCCATGCCTTTCCCACTTTCCCTATGGTCTCTTTCAACATATTCCTTTTATTTTTAAAAATGCTTAATGTTTATTTATTTTTGAGAGAGAAACAGAGTGTGCATGGGGGAGGAGCAGAGAGCAAGGGAGACACAGAATCTGAAGCAGGCTCCAGGCTCCGAGCTGTCAGCACAGAGCTTGATGCAGGACTGGAACTCATGAACCACGAGATCATGACCTGAGCCGAAGTCGGACACTTAACCGACTAAGCCACCCAGGTGCCCCCTATATATTTCTTTATGAATTCTTCATCTTCCACCTACCTCTTAAATGCCATTTCAGAGCCCTATCCTCAGCCTCCATCTAAACCTCCCCAAACAAGCTCCTCCAGTCCCATGGTTTGAATACCAATGACAAGCCAAAGAATCTCAAATCTTTCTATCTCATCGCCACTCCTGGTCCTGTGCTTCATACCCATGTGTGTCAATGTCCACAGGACATCTCCAAATGAATATCCCACACATGCCTAAAATGTAACACATCATACCATGTTCCTTACACAATTTTTAAATGTACAGCTTTTAAAATTAACCACACAACAGAATTTTTTGGAAACCATTTAAAAAAGGCTTCTAAAATCCATCTGGAAGGTTAAGCATATGAAAAAAAACTAAGAAAATGGGACTTGTGCCACCCAAAGCTAGGACCGACTACAACAGGAGCACAGGGACAGACAGCTAGACAGGTGGAACAAAACGCAAAGTCCATAAACAAACCTAGGTCTGTGTAAGAAATAATAAAAGTGTGTGTCAGCAGTGCAGAAAGCACAGATTATTAAATATAAGCTACTGATAATAACTGGTTAATTTGGGAAAAGTAATAAAGTTAAATCTCCTACCTCACAGCTTTTTCTCAAATTCTAGCTGAGTTATAAAATGTAAATATAGGGGCCCTGGGTGGCTCAGTCAGTTGAGCGTCCAACTTTGGCTTGGGTCATGATCCCACAGTTTAGGAGTTCGAGCCTCATGTCGGGCTCTATGCTGATAGCTCAGAGCCTGCAGCCTGCTTCCAATTCTTTGCCTCCCTCTTCTCTCTGTCCCTCTCCCACTTGTATTCTGTCTCTCTCTCGCTCTCTCAAAAATAAACATTAAAAAAAAAATTACTGTAAATGTAAAAAAAAAATCACAGAAATACTATATGGAAAAATACATAAGAGGAAGGATATGACAACTAAAATACAGGGAAAGATTAAAAGACTTTTATTCATGTAGGAATATAATAAGCAGATTATATACTGGAAGGAAAAATCATCTGTAACACATAAAGGTAATGTCCTAAATCTACAGAGCATTAACATAAAGAGGACTTATAAATCAACAGCATAATAAGCAAAGGACATGAATTTTGTAAAAGAAAACACAGAGCCAGCAAATATGAAAAAAAATTCAACTACAAAAAATTTTTTTCAGGCTAAAACACAGTATCATCATTTACCAATGAAATTGGTAAAACTTAAAATTCTAACAGGAGACTGCTAGCTGCAGGAAGGCGGGGTCCACTGGTCACTGCCGTACATACAGAGCCTGACACACTGGGGATGCTCACAAAACTGTAAAGAGTAAGTAACTGTCTTATGGTGGTCGTAACGGTTCAGGGAAACGGGTACTCTCTTCTATCACCTGGAGTGAGATGGATTAGTATGATCTTTCTAGAAAGCAGTTTATGTATCAAACATCTTTAAAAAGACTACCACAAGAATTCTATCTCCAGGAATTAACTTTAAGAAAAGCAGAGGGGCACCTGGGTGGCTCAGTCGTTTAAGCATCCAACTCTTTTTTTTTTTTTAATTATTTTCTTTTTTTAATTTTTTTTATTACTTTTTTAAATGTTTTTATTTATTTCTGAGAGAGAGAGACAGCGTGCTGGGGAAGGTCAGAGAGAGAGGGAGACACAGAATCCGAAACAGGATCCAGGCTCTGAGCTAGCTGTCAGCACAGAGCCCAATGCGGGGCTCGAACCCACGAACCGTGAGATCATGACCTGAGCCGAAGTTAGACGCTTAACCGACTGAGCCACCCAGGCGCCCCCAAGCATTCAACTCTTGATTTTGGCTCGTCAGGATCTCATAGCTTCATGGGTTCAAGCCCCATGTTGGGCTCTGTGCTAGCAACATGGAACTTATTTGGGGTTCTCTTTCCCCCTCTTTCCACCCTTCCCTACTGGTGCGCGCACACGTGCGCTCTCTCTCTCTCAAAACAAATGAAAACTTACAAAAGAAACTAGAGAAGTATACAAAGATGATAATAATAGCAAAAAAGTTTATAATAGAATAAAACTGAAAATAATCTAAACGTTCAATAAAGGAACACTAATGGCATAAGCACAGAGGGAATGCCAGTTAAGTTCTCAAAGATGTGGTAATATCTTTACACAACAGTAAACGTGTGACATAGTCAAGTAAAAAACATTATAAAACCACATACTTAAGAGGATTTCAGATTCATTTTCTCTTCTACAGAACAGGAATAATAGAACTTATCTCATAGGGTAGTTTTGAAAATTAAATAAAATAACACTTTTTGGGGCACCTGGATGGTTCAGTCGGTTAAGAGCCCAACTTCAGCTTAGGTCATGATCTCGTGGTTCATAGGTTCGAGCCCCACATCGGGCTCTGTGCTGGCAGCTCGAAGCCTGGAGCCTGCTTCAGGTTCTGTGTCTCCCTCTCTCTCTACCCCTCCCTCACATCCATCCCCCCTCAAAAAAACAAACATTAAAATTTTTAAAAAAGAAATTAACATTTTTCTTTTTAGAAAAAAAAAAGAGGTTAGCACAGTGCCTGGTATATAAAAAGAACTCAATAAAAGCAGTAGCTAAATTTCAAGGTACATATATATAGAACATTTGCAGAAGGATATACACAGATACTAACAAAAGTTAATTTGGGGTAATACTTCTCTATATTTGAATTTTCTAGTTTTCCTATCATAAATATGTAAGACATAAAATACTAATAACAAAGCTTAATCATTGATAGTTTAACATCTTCTATTTTTATCAGCATTCTCTTAATTTTTTCCACATTTTTAGTACCATAAAATTTTATTTATTTATTTATTTATTTATTTATTTCTAGGAGAGAGAGACAGCGTGAGCAGGGGAGGGTCAGAGAGAGAGGGAGTCACAGACTGAAACAGGCTCCAGGCTCTGAGCTGGCAGTCAGCACAGAGCCCGACGCGGGGCTCGAGCCCACGAACCGCGAGATCATGACCTAAGCGAAAGTCGGATGCTTAACCGACTAAGCCACCCAGGCGCCCCCATAAAAAAATTTTTTTAATGATATCACTAACCATTTAATGATGTGAGAAGCCATTCACAATATATTAATGAGTAAGAACAGATTAGAACTCAGTACCCATAGCAGCGTGGGGGAAGGGATAAGAAAATGAAGCAAACCAGTATGTATATATAGCACAGCCTCCTCTTTAAAAAAGTAGAAGATAGGGGCGCCTGGGTGGCTTAGTCGGTTAAGCGTCCGACTTTCGCTTAGGTCATGATCTCGTGGTTCGTGGGTTCGAGCCCCGCATTGGGCTCTGTGCTGACTGCCAGCTCAGAGCCTGGAGCCTATTTCAGAGTCTGTATCTCCCTCTCTCTCTGACCCTCCCCTGCTCATGCTGTCTCTCTCTCTCTCCTAGAAATAAATAAAACATAAAAAAATAAAAAATAAATAAAAAATAAAAAAGTAGAAGATAAAAGGGAGGAAGGGGAGGGAGGGAGGGAGGGATACACACAAAACTATTATGAATCATTGGATTAAGCATAATCCTTTATACTTTATATTTATCCATAGTTAATGTCTTTTTTAAATGTTTGTTTATTTTGAGAGAGAGAAAGAAAAGAGGGAAGGGGCAGAGAGAGGGGGAGAAATTCCCAAGCACATTCCGCACTGTCAACTCAGAGCCCAATATGGGACTTGACCCCCTGACCCAAGGATCATGACCTGAGCTGAAATCAGGAGTCACTCAACCAACTGAGCTACCGAGGGGCCCCAATTCCTTTCTTTTTAAAAATAAATCCTATGCCCACTGTGGGGCTCAAACTCACAACCCCAAGATCAAGAGTCCCATGCTCTACTGAGTGAGCTGGCCAGGCATCCCAGTCATAGTTCATAAATCTCTTGACTCATAACGTTTGTAAACAGAAAATTAAAACGTTACTAAACATATCCAAAACTGAGTTCATATCCTCCTCCACAAACCTGTTTCTCTTTGTAAACAACATCATCGTTCAGCCCCCCAAACTAGAGTCGTTCCAAATTCCTTCCTCTTCCTCAGTCTTACATCTGTCACCAACTCTTTAAGATTTTACTTTCTAGGGCCATCTGGCTGGCTCAGATGGTTAAGCATCCAACTCAATTTCGGCTCAGGTCATCATCTCACAGTTAGTGAGTTCAAGCACCGCAACAGCCTGCTTGGGATTCTCTCTCTCCTCCTCTCTCTCCCCCGCCCCCTACAAATGCACCTGTGCAAACATGCTCTCTCTGTCTCAAGATAAACTTAAAAAAAAAAAAAAAAAGATTTTACTTTCTAAGTGTCTCTCATCTTCATCCCTTCCATCCTCACTCTTTAGTGCAAACTCTAGATTTTCTGCCTCCAGTCTCAATCCAACCTACTGTCCACACTTTTCTAACACACCGAGTCAGGTGACTCCTGCTGCTGAAAATACACTACACCCGACCCGCCCCGGCCCCCCCACCCCCCGTCACTGCCTGGTAAAAAAAAATCCAAACCCTCAGCCAGTGCCTCCAGCTTCATTTCCCACCACGCCCTCCAGCAATGATCCAATCCTGGCTTTCGCACACATCAGCACCCTTCTGTTCTACTTCCTCAATACCAAGTGCCTGCCCTCACTCTTCACTTTCTGGCTAAATGCTATTCAACTGTTAAGACTCCACTCAAGTTTCACCTCCTGGCTAGAAGCCTTCTCTGACTCCCTACATTCCCTCCAGAGCCGGTAGGTGAGGCCTGCTTCTTTGTGGATTCATTTATCTCTACGAAGCATGGAATTTGCCTGCTCACTTGTCTGTCTCACCCACTGTGCTGGGAGCCTTTGAAGACAGAAATTGTCCTTTCTGGGCAATTGTATTACAGATTACTTTTATTTGCTTTTTTTTCTTATCTGCATGTTTTCCCTCTCTTCCAATTATATAAATAAATCTCAGGGGCACCTGAGTGGCTCAGTCGGTTAAGCATCTGACTTCAGCTCAGGTCATGATCTCACGGTTCGTGGGTTCGAGCCCCGCATCGGGCTCTGTGCTGACAGCTAGCTCAGAGCCTGGAGCCTGTTTCGGATTCTGTGTCTCCCTCTCTCTCTGACCTTCCCCTGTTCACGCTGTCTCTCTCTCTCTTAGAAATAAAAACATTAAAAAAAATTTTTTTAAATAAATCTTATTGGGAAAGAGTCAAGCAATACAGAAAGAAGTACAGAGTAAAATTATCTGGATTTTCTTTTTTTTTTTTCTTTAAATGTTTTTTTTATTTATTTCTAGGAGAGAGAGAGAGAGACAGCGTGAGCAGGGGAGGGCCAGAGAGAGAGGGAGTCACAGACCGAAACAGGCTCCAGGCTCTGAGCTGGCAGTCAGCACAGAGCCCGACGCGGGGCTCGAACCCACGAACCGCGAGATCATGACCTAAGCGAAAGTCGGGCGCCTAACCGACTAAGCCACCCAGGCGCCCCAAATTATCTGGATTTTCTAAGTCGTATAGCAAGCCAAGTCTATGACACGAAGTACGCCCCCAACAAAAGGCTACTGAGTAAATGACTAAGATACCATGATGCAGGGAAGTAACCCAAGAAGTTAAACAAATCCAAAGATATACTTTGGGTCCTCGAATTCCACTAAGACCAGAGCAGCTCTGCTTTTATCCATTTCACTTATTGGGCTTCCACATAAAATTTCATCCAGAAAGAGGGTTCATACATATCCTCAAACAAAATGTCTGAAAACCAGAACTTACAGAAAATAACAAGTAGGCAGATGTGAACTCTAGTCCTGCTTCTAAAATAAATTAGCTACAGAAGTCACTTTTCCTCTTTAGGGCACTACCTCTCATCTGTTAAATACCTAAGACACACATACACCGACACTTTAGGGCACTATTTCTCATCTGTGACACACACACAACACACACACACACATACCCCCCCCCCCCAAGATATTCATTTCCTCAAGTTACTATTGCTTTGAAATTTTACAAAAATGAGATAAAGCAGAGGCACGTGGCTGGCTCAGTTGGTAGAACATGAAACTCTTGATCTTGGGGTTTTGAGTTCTAGCCCTACGTTGGGTGTAAAAATTACTTAAAAATCTAAAGAAAGTAAGTACATAAATAAATGAGATAAAGCACCCAAGTTGCTTCTTTCTTATATAACACCAGATATCACAATCCACATATAGTAAAAGTGGTTGCCTCTTCAGTTCAGAAGCCACACTGCTTTTTTTCCTACTGCTATCAAACCTTTAAGTCTTCTTGTTAATATTTTCCAGAAACTCCTTTCTTTTTTGATGGTGTAGTAAACTTAATGAACTTGGCCTTAGGACGAACTGGTTTGGAGTAGAAGAAAAGGAGATGAAACAGTAGCAAGAAACAACCACTAGGAGTTGCCACCCTTTTTCTCAACAATGCCAGAGAAATGTTTGTAGAATAGTTTTGGGGCAAAAGACTAGTTCCTATTCTGATGCCACTTGTCCAAATCTCCATTTACACTGAATCAGAAAACAAGATAAGCCATTACGGTCTTAAGAGAACCATTTAGGAATCAGAACTAGTTAATGAGGACAGATTTCATTCACTTGGTCTCCATCCTTCTATGCCACGAGTCTTTGAGTACTCTGTCTTACACCAGGAAGCCCTAAGTATCCTTGAAGGTTTTGAGATAGCCAGGTGGAAACAGTACGTACCTGATTAAAAGTGGGAGGTGGAGGAGGACCAGGGGGCAGTGGAGGGGGAGGAATTGGCATCCTTGCCCTGCTCGCGGTTGGCACTGCTTTCTCTCCGTTTTAATTTGCAGCTTTGGGTCACTCATATACCTGCAAATGAAATGGAAATTCTTAAGAACAACTCTGCCATCAGAGACACAGAGTACTCAGGAGACTTACGGGACCGGGCATGACACCAGAGAGAAACTAAGCACCTCCTCTTCTAGTTCTTCTGTGATATAGTCTAGTGCTTGGTAATTTTTTTCCGTAAAAGGTCAGGAAAGAAATGTTAATATTTTCGGCTTTATAGGGCACATATGGTCTCTGTCACATTTTATTCTTTGACTTTATCTTGACAAAAAATTTTTAATAAATTTTAAGAGTAGTTTTAGGGGCACCTGAGCGGCTCAGTCAGTTAAAAGCGTCCGACTTCTGTTCAGGTCACAATTTCATGGCTCATGAGTTCAAGCACTGCATCAGGCTCTGTGCTGACAGCTCGGAGCCTGGAGTCTGCTTCAGATTCTGTGTCTCCCTCTTGCTCTCTGCCCCTCCGCCACTTGCACTCTGTCTCTCTCAAAAATAAACATTAAAGAAAAAGAGTAGTTTTATGTTCACAGCAAAATTGAGCAGACAGTACAGAGAGTACCCATATGTCCCCGTTCCTCCCCCACGCACACTGTGTTATCAACATCCTGCAGTGAACCATCTGATACAATCGACACCTCATTACCACCTAAAGTCCATAGTTAACATTAGGGCTTACTCCTGTCAATGTGTACTTTCTTTCTTTTTTTTAATGTTTATTCATTTTTGAAATGGAGGGGGGAGGGACAGAGAGGGAGGGAGACACAGAATCTGAAGCAGGCTCCAGGCTCCGAGCTGTCAGCACAGAGCCCAATGTGAAGTTCAAACTCACAGACTGTGAGATCATGACCTGAGCCAAAGTCAGACGCTTAAGTGACTGAGCTACCCAGGGACCCCAAAGACATATATTTTTCTGTGTTCGGACAAATGTATAATGACAACTACAAACCACTGTACCATACAGCATAGTTTCGTTGCCCTAAAAATCTGTGCTCTGCCTATTTATCCCTCCTTTCCCCCTAACCATTGGTCTTTTTTTTACTGTCTCCATAGTTTTGCCTTTTCCAGAATGTCATATAGTTGGAATGATATAATATGTAGCCTTTTTCAGATTGGCTTCTATTAATAATATGTATTTAAGTTTCCTCCATGCATTTTCATAGCTTGATAGCTTTCTTCTTAGTGCTGAATAATATTTCATTGTCTCCATGTACAACAGCTTGTTTATCCATTCACCTACTAAAAGACACCTTGGTTGTTTCCAAGTTTTAATAATTATGAATAAAGCTGCTATAAATAAATATACTTGTACAGGTTTTACTGTAGACATAAATTTTTTGCTCATTTGAGTAAATACCACTGAGTATGACTGCCAGATCACATGCTAAGAGCTACACTGGATAACAAACTGCCTAAATGTCTTCCAAGTGAATGATTCTGCATTCCCACCAGCAATGAATGACAGTTCCTGCTGCTCCACAACCCTGACAGCATTTGGTGCTGTCGGTGTTTTAGATAAGTGTGTAGCAGCACTATCTCACTGCTTTTATTTTCAATTCCCTGGTACGAATGAAGTTACCCTTTCATGAATGAAGCCCCTTTTCATATGCTTACTTTCCATCTGTATATTTTTTCCGGTGAGGTGTCTGTCCAGGTCTTTTGCACAGTTTTTAATAAGGTTGTTTTCTTAGTGTTGAGTTTTAAGAGTTCTTTGTCTGTTTTGGGTAACAGTCCTTTATCAGAGGTATCTTTTGCAAATATTTTCTCCCAGTCTGTGGCCTATCTTTTCACTCTTGATTTTTACATTTTAAAACTACATTTTTACTTTTTAATAACATAAAAACCATTTAGTTTATAGATCATATAAAAACAGACCATGGACCAGATCTGACTCATGGGCTGGTTTACTGACTCCCAGTATAGTCACATCCTTGGAATCTGATTAGAGCATAAATACCATGTGAGACTTTAGCCCCTTCTCAGGTCACACACTCAAAAAAACTATGTGGCTGTCCCCCAATTATTACAGTCTGTAAGTGATCCTCATTTTACAAATAAGATTAAAACCAGAGAACTGTCTTATCCTAAGATATTAACCAAAACTCAAGAGCAAAACTCCCCCAAAACACTGTCCCAAGGAAATCCCACTTCTTGACCCTCTCTCCCCCCAAATCAAAGGCAAAATAATAGTACTGAGAACACAACTTACAGATGACAAGAAAGGATCAAGACAGGGTAATCAACTTCACCAATTAATCCATGGAAAAACTGCTTCCAGAAAAGCAAGGTGATTAGATTAGGGCCCAAGAAATTTCACAAGCAGCCCCTAGCACAGACAAGAGACCATGTGTACCAGCATGGCAATCCACTGAGGAGGTTTGGTTCTGAACTCTTTACAAGGGTGACCAAAATTTCCCTGTGAATAAAAGATACCACCTAACACTTCTCTCAATGCTCTCCAAAACCATTTAAACACTTCCTCAATGACGAAAAGAAAAAGTAAATATTTCAAAGGTTCTAAAAAGCCAAGAATCTTTAGAGGTGGGTAGAATTTGATCAGAAACACGACTGTGAAGGTCTTCAAAATCCCAACCCTTCCCGTAATGCCACTATAGGCTGGATGCCCAGCAGAGCTTTTTGCTCGAATCACAAAGAACTGGACAGTACTCTGGCTAGATGGTTCCCATGGGGAATGGTGTCTGAACTCACTTCAAGAATTAAGCAGGTAACTGCTCTCCAAGGGAAACACCTCCTCATTTCTGGTTCCAAAGCTAAGTCTAGTTTTCTTTGCCAGGGCTCTAACATACTAGGCTTTAAAAAGTGATTAAAATAGAGGCGCTTGGGTAGCTCAGTCCGTTGAGCACCTGACTCTTGATCTCAGCTTGGGTCATGATCCCAGGGCCGTGAGATGGAGCATCGTGCCAGGCTCTACGCTGAACATGGAGCCTACCTGAGATTCTCTCTCTATCCCACTGCCCCTCTCCCCCACTTGCACTCTCTCTCTCTAAAAAATAAAAAAAAGGAAAATATTTTTAAAAACTAATCAAATAGGGGCACCTGGGTGGCTCAGTCAGTTAAGCATCTGGCTCTTGGTTTTGGCTGAGATTGTGATCTCACAATTTGTGGGTTCAAGTCCTGCATCAGGCTCTGTGCTGACAGAGCAGACAGAGCCTACTTGGGATTCTCTCTCTCCCTCTCTCTCTGCCCCTCCCCTGCTTGCCTTTAAAATAAATTTTTTAATTAAAAAAATTGATCAAAATAGTAAATCCTCATGATCTAACTACAATGGGGGGGCATCAAATTTAAAACAAAGATATGAAGATGAAAAAAAATTTCTATTGGAATTTTCTGGGTTCATTCTGACAGTTCCCCCAAAGCATTCTTTTAAAAAGCTAGCAGGGGCACCTGGGTGGCTCAGTGGGTTAAGTGTCTGACTCTGGATTTCAGCTTAGGTCATGATCTCACGGTTTGGGAGATGGAGCCCCAGGTTGGGCTCTGTGTGGAGCCTGCTTAGGATTCTCTCTCTCCCCTTCCCCCCTCAATGTCCTTTCTCAAAATAAATAAAGTTAAGGAAAAATTAGAAGCTAACAGAAAATAATAGAAAAAATAATAATCTATTCAGAAACAAACATTTTCAACTAATTCTGGTCACCTCAATTCCTGCCTTTTCCGAGTTTCCAGTTCTACCTACCTTTGTCATTGCCATGACTGAAATGGTCTCCTAGAATGACCTAGAAAAGAGATTCAGACAAATCTCTAATTCTTTTCATATCCACAGGTGATCCAACCTACATGCTACAAAGAAATGATCTAGAAAAACAACCTTAAACCTTACAGTGAGCGAGCATCGTTTATTAGGCAAAACAGTGCTTTTCTGGCAAGGCAAATCTTTTTTATAAAGCAATTCACTGGAAAAGGCCACGTATATTAATTACAAAGTTACAGACATCTTTTTTTTTTATTTTTTTAAATGTTTTTATTTATTTCTAGGAGAGATAGAGAGAGACAGCGTGAGCAGGGGAGGGTCAGAGAGAGAGAGGGAGTCACAGACTGAAACAGGCTCCAGGCTCTGAGCTGGCAGTCAGCACAGAGCCCGACGCGGGGCCCGAACCCACGAACCGCGAGATCATGACCTAAGCGAAAGTCGGACGCTTAACCGACTAAGCCACCCAGGCACCCCTACAGACATCTTTTAAAATAGGCTCAATTCAAACTCCAATTGCAAGATAGATCCATTAAAAAAATCACCTTCATGAAGTGACAGATTTTTGTGTTGACAACCAGCAGTGCTTGTCGACCTTTCTTCTGCCTCCATAAAGACTGCATGCGAGACATGCTCCTGTTCTTGACATTTACACAATGATACGCAATGGGAGAATACCACTGTTTTCCATTTTACAGGTGAAGACACTAATGGGCTCCAGGACCGGGCACAATTACATGCACGCACATTAGAGCAAAAGACTGATCTAAGGGCAACTGCCCAAGATCATTCTGGAGTACACTGCAGAATTAGGACTCAAACCTAGCTCTTCTGATCTGCTATTTCATTAATCACCATGGAAAATATTTGCACTAGAAACTGGTTTGGTTTAACAATTTTTTGCTATTTTCCCCCAATGAAAGTTTAACCCACTACAAATTTCTATTTTATTAACAGAATACAAGCAGCTCTCTCTAGGTTTCCCAAGAACAGCCCAACTTAAGTAAATTTACATTAATACAACATTCCTTCTCCTGAAAATCTCCAAAAGCCTATTCAAACTAGTTTAAGATGAATAGCAATCACTAATCCAAGGCAGAGGGTCTACTTTGAGAACTTTTAGTTAAAAACAAGTGAACCAAAAACAGTACATAAAGTTTTGTGACAGAGTAAAAAGTTTTAGTGACCAACTACTTTTATTTTTTATTATTATTATATTATTTTTTTAGAGAAAGAGAGCATGTACGAGTGTGCATGTACAAGCAGGGGAGAGAGGCAGAGGGAGAGAAAGACTCTTAAACAAGCTCCACTTGGGTCTCAATTC